AGTGAATCTCCATTACACTGAATAAACCCTTTCTTACCCTTAAATGTGTTTGGAACGATAAACGCTACAACAGTCAATCAATATTCAACGCCAATCATGGAACAAATCCTTATTGAAATGGGGGATGTTGTTTGTTCCTTGATCCAGGGGAGCGTCTTTGTAAATTTAAAAAATCAATCCATTTGTGTGATTGAGGTTTTGTCCCGGACCAGCCGATGAGCGCTCTGGTTCCAGTGCAAGGAAGACTGTCATGCAAGCTCGACAGGATGGCAGCAATTGATGATTGATTCTACTGTTCGTCAAACACTGCAGTTATACGGAGACTAACATTAGTAGTGAGAAGTTCATTGTTTCATGTCTTCATATTACGCTATCGTCAACACAATTTACCTGGATCATAACTGAGCAACTGAGGGTTGTACACAGAATATGGTCTGCTGCTTCATTGATACACTTTGCAGTTATCTTCTATTAACGGCTTCTCTATGGTAAGTACGTTGTTGTTTTTAACTTGATGGAGAGTTTAAAGTTTCGTTACCGACATGCAGCTATTTTCTATCGAACTTGAAATACAAATAATCAAATTTGCCCATTTGTTTTCATATTAGCAGAGAGTGATCGAGTGAGTGAGTGAGCACTATTTCAGATTTACCACGGCATGTCAACTTGGTGTTGGTAGAAAGCCCGACTTGGTGAACTCGTGAAGAACTGCTTTTCAGCGACCCATCCCTGACTAACGGAAAAAGGGTGGTCAGGCTTTGTTCATGCATATCATCGTATCCCATTTGAGCAGATTGATGCCCCTGGATTTTCAGGTCCAGTCTAGATTATTTTCATACCACACCCAATTAGCATAAACATTGCTGTGGGAGGCGTTGAACAACAACAAACTGTATGGATGCAGGCAGGTTTTAGACTTTTGGTACACTACACTCCAGTGTGCGAAATAGTTTCCAAATGTTGCTACCTAGTCGGGCTAGCTATGCCTGAAAATTGCTAGCCCACAAAATAATCCACTAGCCCGAAATTTGAATGTAGAAACTAATCTAGAAACGCTGCTAATGCGATGAACATTTTTATTAGGACATAATCTTTCATCAATACTATGAACACAAGCAGCACAAAATTGTGGACGCCAGGAAGGACCCTAACATGGTTTGGCACTTACTAAAGTGTACTAGGAAAACATTTGTTATAAATGTTAATATTGACCCACGTGACTGGGTCAAACATTTTTCCTCTCTGTTGACTTGTGATCAAGACTTCATGTTATCTTCATGTGACACTCCAGGTGCAGTGTGTCAGTGACATCATTACAGAACAGGAGGTGAACTGTAACATTGACAAGCTGAAAAACAATAAATCTCCCGGGCCTAATGGCATAGCAGCTGAGTTTATTAAATCATCAAAACCATATTCTGTTCAGCATCTAACATTACTTTTTAACCAAATATTTAATACAGGTAACTTCCCAGCTGTAAGGGGTACAAGTATTATATGCCCTCTGTTCAAGTCAGGACAAAGCAAGACCCGAGTAATTATAGGGGTATTCCTTTAATAGATTCACTTGGTAAAGTGTTTACTTGCATTCTAACATCTAGGGCTGCAGAAGTGGTGTGAGAGTAATAATACAATTTGTGAGTGTCAGGCTGGATTTAGAGCTAATTATAGAACTGTTGACCATAGTTTTTCATTGAATGCTGTTGCACAAAAGTATGCTCATAAGAAAAGGGGAAGATTTTATTTTGTTTTTATAGATTTTGCAAAAGCATTTGATACAATTAATCATAAAGTTTTATTTGACTGTCTAAAGGATGTTGGAATAACTGGTAAATTGATAATATCTTAGTGTCTATGTATTCAATATTGGTAGCCTGTGTTAGGACTTCAAACGGCCTCACTGATACTTTCAGGTGTAATCATGGCACCCCTCAAGGCTGTATTTTGAGTCCCCAATTATTCATTATCTTTATCAACAAGCTTTTTCATGTTCTAGAAAGTTTTGGAGGAAAAGGTGTTAATATCAATGTTAATGTTGATCATCTCTATGCATTAATGTTTGCTGATGATGTGTCAGGAGTTGCAGATACTGCACTTCAGTTGCAGAAGAGGCTAAGTGCACTAGAGTTATTTTGCAGGCATACTGGTGTGAAGATTAATTTAGACAACACAAAGATTATTGTGTTTCGAAACTCAGGATATTTAACGCATTATGAAAATTGGTTCTTCGAAGGTAAAAAGATTGAGGTTGTGTCATTTTATAGGTATCTTGGCATAGTGTTTACTCCTAGGCTATCATGGACTAAGGCTCACCATTGTCTGCTCTCTCAGGGTAATAAAGCACTTGTATCTATCTATTTCTTTCAAAGACATTTGGGTAATCTGTCAACTCAGGATCTCTTTAAGTCGTTTGATTCTGTCATTCTGCCTATTCTGTGTTATGGATCTAAGGTTTGGGGAACATCATATTGTAAAATTATTGAAGGTCTTCAGATTAAGATTTGCAGACAATATCTTAGAGTTGGCAAGAATGTAAGTAGTAGTATGGTTCTAGGGAATGTGGCAGGCTTCCATTACAATTTAATTATATGTCTAGAGCGGTTAAATACTGGTGTAGGTTAATTCAGTTAGAATCACATCGACTCCCATTTCAGGGTTATAATATGTTGAAATCTCTTGATGATTCGGGTAGGGACTACATGGGCTAAAAACATAAAAATATCTTATTTACATTCGGTTTTGGGTTTATATGGCTCTCTCACAGGATGTCGGTGATAGTAAGGCATTTATGCAGCAGTTTAAACTTCGGCTTTCGGATGATCTCAAACAATCATGGTCTGCCACTGTTCATAACCTTTCAGATTCATTTGCCTACAAACACTTTAAATCATTATTGCATGTAGAAAGCTGCTTATCATTATCTATCTCTCCCTACCTAAAATCTCTTCTAGCAGAGTTCAGGTATAGCAATTTTGGGTTAGGTATAGAAGTAGGAAGATATAATGACATACCAATGGCTGACAGAGTCTGTTTTTACTGTAAATTAAATAATATGAACTGTATTGAAAATGAAACACATGTCCTTTTTGATTGTAAATTGATGCTAGAAACAGGTTTATTACTCCATTTTTGCATGATAATGTCAGCAAACATAACTTAATACACTTACTTTACAGTACAGATAAAAATGTTATCATAAATGTTTGTAAATTTTTGAAATGTATACATAAAACTAGAGCTGCAACTGTAAAAATATAAACCTGTCAGTTTTATGTACGCTTATTTCAACTAATTTATTTTGTATTGTGGGCCTTTGGCCTTTATACTGAATAAAATATCTGTCTGTCTGTCTAATCTTGCATCAGGTAAAAGAGTTTTATAACTTAACAAGTCGGAGAGAATGATATATTTACAAAATGACCAAATGAAAATTCACTAGCCAGTCGGTCACTGGGACTGTGGAGATTTACTGGCCCGACTGGATTTTGACTAGCCACGGGCTAGCGGGCCAGTTGCTATTTCGCACACTGCTACACTCCCGAAAGCGGACATTGTGCTGACAAACCAAGAAACATAATCAGCCACATAGGGATTCAAACTGACGATTGAACTTCACAGGGACAACTATCTTTAGAAACAGTGACTTACGGTGACTTGGATGATTGAGCAACCCGTGTCCCCATCATATCAAACTTTAATGACGATGAAGGTTATGGTTAACACTTTGCCCACACAAAATGTTCAATATTATTAAATATATTATAATATAATGTCAAACAGGTTGAAGAGGTTGACAAAATATTTTTATTTCTTCAAGATACATTTATGAGTGTGCAAATCTTCTTGTGACCTCTCCCAGGCTTTGACGTTATATATTTTCAAGTTTTGAATTTGTGGCGAAAGCATTATGTGTAATGTGTAGATCTTTACCGTTTATCTTACTTTGACCAAATTCGTGGACCCAAAGATGTTTTTTACCAAATGCATGATATGTCCTGGGTCAATATTGCTCATGTTTACAAATTGAGGAAAACACCTCTTGAAAACTGTAAATGAGCCTTTTTCTAACCACGTTGCGCTTACTTTACGAGTAACCAATATAATCCCTAATCGTATAAGAGCTGTAGGAGGAAAATCAAGTTCTCATACCGAGGTATCAGGTATAATTTCCCAACAATTTGCATTTTTCTGTTTCTCAGACTCTCTTCCACGATGTCATACATTTTCCTTATTTGGAAACAAAGTGAACACACATACATCTTACATTCCTTTGTCATGGGAGAAAAGAGTTTCTTACTATATTTCGATAAATTGCTGATTCAGCGTTTTCTGTTCACCCACCCACTCATTCGTCCACTCACTTACTAAGTGTCTTGCAGGATCAGCGTTGTTTCCATTGAAGAATTTGAATGGAAGCGCGATTACGAGATTAGATGACCGCACCGTGACGTCACACATGATATCATGCCATGACGTCATCACCGTCACGGAGTGCCTAAAGGACTGCTCGAGCCTCAAGCTATGTCACAGCGTGTTCGTGTACAAGCCCAGCATGTCCTGCTGTCTGAATAAGATGCCCGTGTACACGGCGTCCACCTCCCAGGCCGCACCGGGACACGTGCATTACGTGTCTTCATATGAAGCCGAGAAGAAGGCCACGATGTCATCCACGACAGCAACATCTGAAACTACGACAGAAGATATTACGAATCCAACGGCAGCACCTATCAGTTCAACGGACGACGATGAGGCTACAACAGCAACTACTACAACACCTCCGGAAACGACAGCATTGGTCACAACAGCATCAACTACAACAGCGGAGGCAACGGCCAATGGTGATATGTTAATCATGTTGTCATACAAACGTCTTATCCATACGATCAACTTGGTAAATAAATGAAATCACAATAATGAACTGTTTTTAAGCTCGATAGACTGATCTGCTTGTTGAACAAAAAAGCAGCTAGTAAATAACTTTCCCAGGGGAATTGCCCGACATGAACACGATTCTGTGTACAGACATGGTAGCAAAATATCATTTGAACGCATGTCTATCCGCGGTTCACTGACCCAGCATACCTTTTAACATTGATTAGACATACTATTAACTGGTAAAGAGATTGTGACCATTTCATAGATAAAAGCGTCATATATCATATAATACCATATGACCGCCACCATTTAGCTGAAGTATTGCTGAGTGCGGCGTAAAACTATACTCACTCACTATAATACCATATATCGCGAATATACAGTGTAACGTATTTCGGATTACACTTTCTTAGTAAAGTACAGATTCTAGTACTTTTGTTGAGTTTTGTCCCATCCGGGATTCGAAAGTACAATGGCTCCCATAATATAGTTTGTATCAGTAATATATATGATATGCAAGATATCCAAACCCACTCAGCTAATTATATCTGCATAGACTTTTGTCGAACGTTGGACCAGCGTTGATTTAACGTTGACAAGCCGTTGGGCCAACTGCATTCAACCAACGTTATCAAAACGTTACTCTGCTGGCGTTAACGTTGAACCGACGTTGATTTAACATTGGGTCAACTGCATTCAACAACTTTGACCCAACACTGTCCAAACATTGGCTCCTGAGGCCTTTTTTGTTCTATGCCAACTCAAACCGCGCTTTCAATCTGCATGATGTTTAAGGCGACATAAACATTTGTGTTTCAATATCAATGTGTACTGTTTCTTTGTGTCTTGCAGGGTTAAGCGATGGATTTATCAACGTCCCAAGCATTAATTTGACCTTCCAAGCTATCAGTTCTGGGTTGCATTATAAGGCGGCTCAAACAGTTTGTGTGGAAGGTAGTGGTCATCTGATTTACCTGAACACTGCGGCCAAACAGAGCTACATCACTGACCACCTGAGTAATGCAGGTAAATACAGGTGATCGATACCCACTTACAGTCCTGCACTAACGAAAACCAGGAAAATGAGTCTTGCTTGTCTTGAAGTAGACCAGTAATATATGCAGTAACATACAGTTATCACGATCTCAAAAGGACCAGTAATTTTAGTTAGGAATAACCCAGCTTCGTTACACTACTCGCTTCTAAAATATACAAGTGGTCTTGGGGAAAACAGTTCCTTATGTCCGTCAGTTCGTTTTAAGCATGTTCCTTACAGACGTAGTTTAAGGGATCTTGTAATTGCTTGAGTTGCGCCAGTGGACCAGTAGCATGGCTTGATTGTCTTGAAGTGGACCAATAATGTGTCACATCCGTGTCTTTAAGACATAAGGGCCTAGATTTTCGAAGCTCTCTTAGCGCTAAGATAATCGTAAGTGCCATACATTAACATTAACTTACGACTATCTTAGCGCTAAGAGAGCTTCGAAAATCTAGGCCCAGGACAATAATGTTTCTTATGAATTAGTTGCAGGTTTGTGTATCATGTCTCACTGGCAGCAAATAGAAACGTTATGACACAGGTTAAAATCCACGATCATATTATACAGTACTGTATGATAATGAATTGGAAATACTCTGTAGTTCGAAATGACACGCAATGGCTTGCGTACGACTACAATATGTTTCTTTCTCTACGGTGAAAAGAGACCGTGCCAGTCCACCAAAATTAATATCGTTCGTAAGCTGTTCTCCTGTTGCATGCAGACCAACCTGCCACTTGTTGCTTAATCAGCAAAATATCGGCCTGGATCCACCAAATCAAATTTCCAGTATCCATTGCCAACAATGGTCACCGGAAGTTTCGAGGCTCTCAAAACACCCTTGAACTTGGGGTCAAATAATGGGAGGCTGGAATCAATATCATGTTACCTTTGTGGATACAAATTGTAAAATAGCACAATATCTGATCTTACATTTAAGCTATCACAAGTCACACTGAACAGCCCATTTAAACTGGAGGCTATAGTCTTCTATTTTTCTCCCGGGTCAAGATACAATTTAAAGCAGGGAACTGTGGTCTGAAGATGGCTGGTGGACTCGCAATGTTCGTTCTCCCAGCTCATCACTCCATCATGAGATGTGCATACCCAGCAGGCACATCAACGTTGTTTCAACGTTGAGAATAGGTTGATCCTCAACGTTGAAAATAGATTGAAAATAGGTTGTATATGAAAGTTTTTTTGACGTAGATATCCGACGTGGAATCAACGTTGAAGTTTGACCGATTATCAACGTTGAAAAAAGGTTGATCCTCAACGTTGAAAATAGATTGAAAATAGGTTGTATATGAAAGTTTTTTTGACGTTGATATCCGACGTGGAATCAACGTTGAAGTCTGACATATTATTAACGTTGAAAAAAGGTTGATCCTCAACGTTGAAAATAGATTGAAAATAGGTTGTATATGAAAGTTTTTTTGACGTAGATATCCGACGTGGAATCAATGTTGAAGTCTGACATATTATTAACGTTGAAAATGGGTTGTTCCGTGGTTGTGTCTGGGAGGTATTACGCTTTCCTGTAAATAGACTCGCATTTCATCTTTAAACTACAATATAAAAGTACCACCAAACTCCTGCATCCAGCTAAAATACCCAAAAGCTACCTGCAATAAACAGTGTTCAAACAGAAAATTGCAGTAAAATATTTACCTGATAAAATACTTGGTTAAAATTCCACATTCAATATAATGTTCATTTAAGTTTTATGTCAGTAAGACGTAGAAATCAGTAAGAAGAAAGAGTATTCCAAATTAAGAAAAACTATTTACTGTTGTATTGTTACCTTGAAAAGGTGAAAATTGTCGAGAAGACATTTTGTCTGAATTTCAGCTCTTAGACAGACCCCTGAATAAACACAATGCAATTACTTTCACCATGAAAGGGATCCAAGATGACCAGGAACTATACCTGAAGACAGCACATAAAACAAGTCACTTTTCATGAAATCTTTATGAACACACACGCACACAGAAAACGTGGTTTAATGCATAATGTAAAACATCACACATGACATAGTCTGTAGGTGATCTCTGTTGTGCTAATAACACAATATCATCTGCATATAGCATCAAAGTGACATTTACGCCACCAATTTCAATACCACAGTTCAGATTTTTTCAACACAATTACAACTCCAAAAGCACAATTATCGTCTCCTCTTCTCTCTGCCACTCCCTGCCTGGCGGTCAGGTGGATACTTCAGAAACGTTCCTAACTCTTTCTTGAAATTTGCTTCGGATGCATTCCCATCTCATTCCCTTGAGATAGGACACATTCTGAAATTTTATATTTAAATACATGAATAAGTTATATGGAAGATATATTGTCTTAAATGATTCAAGTTTTTGTTTAATCAATCACTTGAAAGGTTCATTTCACTGCTGTAACTTGGCATGTGAGCATATGAACAGCATCAATACAAAATATGACGAAAAGTGTAAACAATTTATATTTTCAACCGAAGGAATGGAAGTTTTCTTAAACATTTTCAAAGAAAATCCTCAATTGCAAGTTGATTATTTAATTAGACTATGAATTGCCGGTAGGATGAATTAGACGATGCTTTACTGTCATATATTATTTGCTATGGTCATGATGAAAATGCTGCACTTGGTAATTAACTTACCAGAGATGATTGAATACAACCTTGTAGTCTTAAAAGAAAACTTGCCGTTTTGCCCATCAACATTCATTCTTGACATCAAATTGTTTGACATTGTCCTGCAAAACAATGGAAGATTGTTGTTATTCTGTCAGATTTAGTTTTTCTTTAGAGATTCTCGGAAATGATTATTTCAAATTAATAGGAGTTGAACTGATGTAGCAATTTTGCTACCAGGAGTCATAAATTGTAACAAAAGCCATTTTACATTAAATGATAAGAAAACAAAATGGGTGGTGGTTCACAGGTCAAAGAACAGGTCTATTGTAGGAGGTCTCCCAACACCATTTGTTCCCAAACACAAGGAAGTATGGATCATGGAGTTCTGAAAACAATAATGAGCTCTCATAAGTATACAATATATTCTCTATTATCTACTCTCTCTCTCTCTCTCTTTGTCATTTGTACACTCATAAAACTCAGATAAATAACTTTTTTATAATTCATAAATGTTAACACGTAATCTCTTATAGGAACGCTTAGAAAATCTCTCATGTAATGAATTATGTGTGCGTATTATCTGCGACGCCATAACTATGCTTCTCTGAATCATGAACAATAAAATAATGAGATTAAACTCTACATTGCCAGAAATAATCTATCATACCATGAATAATAAGACATTGAATAACATCTCTTACAACTCCCAATCTACACTCAAAAAGACTTAAATGTACTCGTAAATAAACATCGCTGGCTAACGCAAATTCTTGTAAACAGTGCATCTCTGACTCTCAATTCAATTCCAAGAAATGGAAGTCCTACTCTATTTGACCAAAGGGGTGACAGGTGGCCAAAACATATTGAAATGTAGGTCATACACTGAAAATAACTCTGATTTAAAACACTACAAATATACACCTTCTCTCTAATATACTCGATAGATGATCTTAACAAGGGAACATGTACATAAAATGCTGATATCTAACCACACCTGTACTTTAAATAATGGACTCTTCCAAATCTCAGTATGTTTCACTGCACACATATTAGATTGCAAATAATGAAAAACCTACCCTTTGACAATAATAAAAAACATCATATTCAAATTCTACAGCTGACCAAATACCTGAAGAGTGTGTTTCCCAGCAATAAACATCTCTATATATCTATAAATGTATGACTTCTGTCCTCTCGCGTGCTATCTTGCATCCAGCTGTTTACGGCGAAAAACAATATGGCGCCAAGCAAGGGAGTGCTCATTAAACTAAACATCTCCGGGAGAAATCCTTGTCAATTTTTTTCTCTTAAATGATCAACCTTAATATATAAATGAAAATAAAGACCAACTATTATCACCAAAAAAGACCAAACATTATCACAAATATTCAAAACAGGTGGTAATGAAAGAGCATTATCATCTTTCTCTTAAACTTTGTGGTGGATATACTGGAAACATGTGAAATGTTAAAAACGTGTTACCTTAGCCTTGCTCCTTTTATGTGATCCACAAAATTGCTGCCACCCAGTCATCGAAGATGAGATTTCTGCAAATTCCATTAAAATAATCTTATTTCATAATTAAATGTTCCTTACATTAAAATTACTTCTTTTGTATGTAAGATTTTAACCTTTAAGAGACATGAATTATCATATCCCTTCCAAACAAGTGTAAGAATGAAAGTCTGTGGGTGCAGTTTTGTTAATTGTCCCATCAAAGAATCATTAGTGAAGTTACACTTTTTGTAAATAAATAAAAGTTCAAATAAATTATATACAATTTAATCCTTAACAAAGACTTTCACAAGACATTTTAAAGTGAAAATTTTCGTTGCATTTCCTTACGCCATTCTCCACCACCCCTTCCCCCCCAATAATATACATATGTTGATAGGGTTCAGGGCGTGCTCAATGCATCATTTACTGATAGATCTATTCAAACGAACAAATGTTCATAATAATGGGATGCAATATAAAATGTTGATTTATCCTATCCGATTTTGTATAGCTGCCCTTAGGGACCGTTCATAATGTATGGCTTTGGGGTGATGTTGATTTTTATGTACAATGTGAATTACACCCCACCCCACCCCCTAAAAGTGTATGAGTATGTACAGAATAAGAGACGGCCCACCCTGCATGTCATGTACATTATATATGACGCCCTCGCCCCTTCCCATAATTTCTAAACATAGTGCGTGTGTACAAAAATGCTGACCCTTTAGCTCCCTGAACAAAATGGGTGACACCCACCCCACCCCACCCACCCTCCAACCCTTACAATCAACACCCCCACCCGCAGCCATATATTTAATTATGAACGGTTCCTTATATTGATGTACTTCATTGATTATTTGAAAATGTATATTTGCAAAATTCAAATCAGGTGATGGGTACGAAAGGAAATCTTATTCGATTATATAATAAAATGCCAAATATATGCATGTAAATATATTGAAAAATAACAAAACAAAATTTTGAGAAACATGTACTGTGACATACCGGTAACCTTGTGAGATAAAACATGAGCCCTAATTCGGAGTTTCTTGCTGCTGCTAGATTTAAACGGCATTCCTACGTTTTCATTATACATGAAGGACATACTTACCACATAAACACCAGCATGCCGTGAAGATGGTGAAAATAGAACGACATTGCCTTGAACTTCGCCAAAGTGAACTGACAACGATCAGCTGCCTTTGCGCGCGCGATAATTGTGCGCATGTCGGATATGGCCAAACGAGGCGATCGAAAGGTCAACATCTGGCTTGTGTTTGAAAGCAAATTGTCGGGAATTATACAATTTTCACAGTTTTGTGGGAAAATATCAAATGTAATGCAATTTGGATAACTGATGACTTTATACCTAAAACTGCGATTTACGTAATATTTCCGTCCGTTGATCGATGCACAATCAAATAATATATAAGATTATATCTGTCACTAGCTCGATCTTGATCTTTTATGAAAATAATGTTCCGAAATGATAGTTGCTAAGTTGGATACCTATTACCAATATGAATTATGTATCAAATTTGCCAAGGAAACAATTAGTTGACATTTTGTTGGTTCCTTACGTTGAAACAACGTTGACAACTAAACGAATCTCGACTAACTTTCTTTGGTCGCATGATAAACGTTGAATCAACGTTTATGAAAGGTTGATCAACCAAACAACCAAAATTCAACGTTGATTCAACGTTGATTCAACGTTGTGTGCCCGCTGGGTAGTGACTGTTGAATCACATCGTGTTTGATATCAGGTTCAGTGCTTATATTTATGATTAGACTTAGCTTTCAGATCCACCAACTGGTACTAGATCTCTTCATTTCTGTCTTCAGGTATTTCTGCTGAATTTCACATAGGGGGTCAAATGCTTAATGCCGTAACCCCAACATGGTTGGACGGAACTGCGATCGTGAACCCACCGTGGGCGCCTGGTGAACCTCACAACAACGCCAAGTGTATCTCGATGATCATCCCATCCGGCGAGTGGAAGGATGATGACTGTACTGCGGTCAAGCAATACATCTGCGAGAAATAGGTATGTAGATCCTGACGCTTTGCAGTGGACTGAAACTTGAAAACAAAAAATGTGGCAAGTGTGAGTCTTCATTCGAGAAATGCATGTGCTATGTACTACTTCAGAATAGAAAGCGATACCATGAAATATGCAAAAATATTATGGAATGCTTCGAATACAATGGAACACAACTGAATACCCAGGAATACAATGGAATAAACGGTCATACAATGCAATACACAGGATTACACAGAACTACAGAAGGAACAGGCAGGAATTTACAAGGATACTGTTGATTAGAGTTTCCAGCCTTTGTGTATTGCTCGATGACTGATTGTTTAATTATTACTGTGACTCTATGTACCCATCAACTGCTGGAGGATGACAGGATATACTGCCTGTTAGCTTATGCTATGTACACCCAATGAGGTGAAAATGAAAATCGAATGTTCACTCTTCAGCTGACCGGGGTAATAATATTAGCGCTTTGAGTCTTAAGCAATATGGGTGCACACATATTATTATTATTATTATTATTATTGTCAACGTATAACCAATTAATATCATGTCCCAATGCTTGTTTAGACGCTTGTTCTCAATTAAGAATGTTGTTAAGTTATCTGCCTAGGGCAAGCTTAAAGACTTCATGGAACAAGAAGTCGTGATCAATTTCTATTTCCATTGTTAAATGGTTTAACTCATAATCAGTTATGCATTCACGGTATATATGTAACAAGGCATCACCATGGAAACATGCAAGTAATGTGTGCGAAAAATTACATCATTAAGTGGAATGTGAACAATTGTCGAAATTAAGGCCAGAACAAATAAGCAGTTATAATTCTTCGAGGAAATCTGAGCATGCAATCTTTGGCTGAGAGGCACATTTTGTTTAACACATTGAATGTCAACCATTTTGAGATTTGTTTCAATAATATTTTCACATTGATTTGAAGGCCTACCAGCATTGTAGCCTTATGAATGTATATGGCTGATGGTCCAGTTTATAAACATCAGGCGAAGAATGTGGGAAGTAGGCTGATGTGTGACCGTGGTGGGGAAGATTGCAATAAAATCCAGGAGAGAGGTTGGGTGGTCCTGGCACAGTCACGCTGGTTATGCTCATCGTCAGCTCTAGGCCTGTCCCTTTTACACACAGCCCAGGCAGTGAATGGAACTTCTCTCGGGGAGAGCTGCTGAGTGGAACCCACCAAGAACTTTCTGGAGAATATGAATAACCCCCAACATTGGTACTCTCCTGGTACGTGCCAAGAGGTCATCATGAGTGTTGACACCCAGAGGATCATCCGATAAATAAATATTTGCAAAAGTACACAATAAAATTTATCTTGAAGAGCCTCTGCTGTAATCAAACCCAACCTCCCGAATAGACTGGAATATGCAAACGATTAAGATAGGGACGATGGTGGAGGGCTCTGTTATCAGACATGATCCTTCTGTGTAGGCCGTCAAGACTCCGGGTGTCTTGTTTTGCCCAATCAACTACTCCAAAGCAAAGGACTGGTACAGCAAAGGTATTGGTGGCTTTGACCTTGTTTCGAGCATTTAGCTCTAAGCTCCAGAGCTTGATGTCATCCATGTAACAGAGATGAGTAAGCGCTCTTGAGATCCGGAACCGTATCCGTCTTGTTTGTTGAACAGAAAGCTCATACGAATTAAAGACAGACAAAAATCAAGGGACTGAACTAGTCCCTCTGCAATAAATTCCGAAGTCTGCACCTGTGATTATATCTGAGTCCAGTCGATCAACAACTAATGAAAGACTTAAGTAAATGAGGTCGTCGCTCAGGAAGGTAAATGCAATCAAGGCCCTTCAGTATTCATTCATGAGGGACAGTCATTCATATGCGTTATTATGGCCAATCCAGCACAGGGAGAGGTTGCGGTGATATTTTTTAGCCTCTTCCAAAACCATTTTTGTAGAAGTAGTTAAACCTTGCACCTCAACATTCCTTCCTCGCTCCCTTCTGCTCTTTATAAATCATATCATTCGAAGAGCAGTAAGAGGACACAAGCTTTGTCAAACACCCTGTGAACATTTTATACTGCATATGATAGCCAATGGAATCTGTCAAGTCTCCCTTTTGGGGAAGGAGTATTGTCCAACATTTGAAGAACCATCGAGGAACATTGACTATGTCCACGAGAGAATTGAAACAGTGAAGTAGCGGTGTGTGGACACAGGTAAACAGTTTGAATGCCAACAGGCCCTGGTGATGTATTAGATTTGGACTTTTAAATATCACTTTTCACGTAATCTGGTGAGATGTAACACAAAGACATCGCACTTCGTTTCTCATACATTGCAGGATTGTAATCACGGATCCATGGTGCTGTTTATCTTAACATCAACATGACCTTAGTTGCCTGTAAAAATGATTTTCATAATTTCTGAAGAGTATATTTTGTATTATAAATGTGTTCTGCTTTTGCCATTTTTCTTTCTTTCAGTCCAAACCTTTAATTTTGCCTTCTGGAACTCGACAATTTGGACAAGTACCTTTTCATTCGTTGGCTTGTATTGTAATTTTCTCCAGATTGACTTTTGCCTTACAGACAATAGATTCCCTGACGACCTTAATCCAAGGCACTGCTCAGTCCAGGAAATATATTTTCTTTTTTCAGTTAGTTTACCTAAATCCGGTTTTTCTTTGGTGTTTGTTGCTGTCATTAGATGGATTCTCCTAGCTGTCTACAGTTCCTCCAGAGTCGAACGGCAGAATAGACACAACAATTAACTTAATGTAATGAAAACTCCGAAGTAAGTTTCATAGAAAAAATGTCCTTCAATAAATGTATTTAATGTTTAGGAAAAGATGCATGCTAACCTCATGCCATGTTTACATGGGACAGAGAGTACGCAGGAGACCCAGCACCTGCCAACGAGGTCAGGTTTGGGGTAGCTCTGTAAGCGGAATAATGGGCAATACCAACGGCAACCATATGATATTTAATCAAGAGTATGCCTTCAAGGTGTCATGCATGTATCGCCCACATGGTTGGCACACAAAATATTGCTCTACCCTCTCCAAATATATTTACACAGTGTTTTCATCGGCACCTTCACTATCATTTCATAGGGCCCCTTATTTTTTGTCCGTCGTATATTATCAAGGAGTGATCTGCCTAAAACTTGCTTTGTACTCATGTATGTTGTTCTATCAGAATATGTTGTTCTATCAGAATATGTAGCCCATCTCTCTATTGTTCCCTCTTATTATATGTGAGTCCCCACTGAAATAATGTCTGTCTATTCTTGTTTCATTGCTGTGAAATGTCAGTAAGCACTAAATTTTAATTTACGTCAACTGCATGGTGTTTGTCGTGTGTAAAATATTTACCTCTCATGTAGAAAATGATCCAGATCAATTTTAACTATTAATACAGCTTAGCGATACTTAGGTTTGCTGAAGTGCTTCCTATTCATCTTGTCCACACAATACATGGATCAACAAATATCAAACATACGGCAAGAATCTATGGTACTTTCGAATCCTTTAAAAGCATTACTGTTCAGGTGAATTTACTGAACACTCAGTTTTGGTTTTCATTGGCAAGATGTATTTCCAGGAAGGAAATGACTTCATAAACGTATTGTTTGATACACTGACCAAACATTTTATATAAGACGTTTTGTACAAACATATGTACTTCATGTACTTTGATCACCTTGACACGTTATGTGGCAAAAGTGCATTGCAAAACCCATAGAAACTTTTACAACATGGCTATCAAAAATAGCTCTTTGTCTACAGTTTCGATGCTGTGTATGCCTTTTGTGTGTTGTTCGACGGAAAGTCGAAACAAGTTTGAAACAAGCCAGAACTATGACTTCGACCATTAATTTACTACTCAAAAGAATTTAAAGAACAAACTATACTCTGTCCTGACGCATCACCTCTGGTAATATGAAAGAATCGGGAGTTTTTTAACTTTTCTTGAGTAGTATAAAATGCAGTAAAGTAGGATGCTGTTTAAATTTCAATTTTGTATCATAGACTGATAATATATGCCAAACAAACTGACAATGGTAATGCTAGTGATATATTGAGACCTTTATTTGGATGATTTTCATATGCGCCAGTTTCACATGGTCGGAGCCAAACATACTTCAGCTTTAACAGCAATGTACATTCCGTAAACTAACGGTAGATGGGTGCTTACAGTTACAGTTTTAGTCACGTGGCACATTTTTCAGTCGTACACACGATGTCGGCGGATTCATCACACTGGTCAGCGTCTTTTCGGCTTTCCATCAGTGAATCTGTTACGAGCTAGTGTAACAAAAGCTTAAAAGCAACTTACTGACTGACCATATCTCTTTACACATACACACATATCACACCGACTGACTGAGTTTAGTTTTGCCGCTTTTAGCAATATTCCAGCAATATCACGGCGGGGACACCAGAAATGGGCTTAACACATTGTACCCATGTGGGGAATCGAACCCGGGTCTTCGGCGTGACGAGCCAACGCTTTAACCACTAGGCTACCCCACCGCCCCACACATATCAAGACGTCGCTGTCATTAGCTGGAGGTTTGCTGAATGCAGCGTAAAAACATATGACAAATCATATAACGCTAATTACCGCACATATCAATAGAGTCAAACAGCCCTTCTCCACTGATCATGTATTCTTTAGTATTGACTCATAGGTTTTTAAAAATCAATCTATTTGAGTGACTGAAATTTGTCCCTCACCAGCGGATGAGCGATCTTATTCCACTGCACGAGGGCTTGTCACACAAAGCTCGGGATGATTGCAGCGATTGAGGATTAATTCTATTGTTCGTCAAAGACTGATGTATTTTGAAGACTAACTTGAGTCGTGAGAAGTTCAGTGTTTCATGTCTTCATATTACCCTATCGTCAACACAATTTACCTGAAACATCACTGAGCAACTGAGGGTTGTACACTGAATATGGTGTACTGCTTCAGTTATACACTCTGCAGTTATCTTCTTTTAACAACATTTCTATGGTAAGTACGTTGTT